GACATTTGCATTTATTTTGACTGTGTCTACTGAGAATCACATACTTTTTTTATTATTTTGAGGCAACTATAAGAAGATTTCATTGCTCTCTAGAAGACATTAAAAGTGTAATAAAATAAAATAAAAAGGCATTTATATTCCATGTCATTCTCTCCAGAACTGTGCTGGAAAGTCCTTTGTGTTAAATATTTTTAAGATTGGCATGGTTATTTCAGACTTTCAATAATTTTCTGGTCCAGAGAGAGGAATGTTATTAAAAACATCTAACAAAAAAATATTTGCATAGACAAGTAATAGAGTATTTTAGAATATAAATGGAAATGGAAATTACTCTATGCTGGCTTCCTATGCCCCATAGTTTTGTACTATGCCCTATAATTTTGTACTACAGGTGATGCAGCTGTGCAGTGGTAACTAGAAGAAAGGCTTTAATATTTTGAGTTGCTAGACACAAAATACTCAATGTGCCTGCTGTTAGGACTCATTAAAGGTAGGGAAAAACTTTACATGCTAACAATAAAATTTTTTCCTAAATTAATGATTTTGTGACTAAATGGAAAAAAACTCTTCACGTAGTCATCTGTTCTCTGTCACTATCATGAAATCAGACTAATGAACTACATCACCTTTGTCAACAAAGAGTCCATCTTAGCTATCTTTTTCCCCATAAAATAATTCAAGATTATGCCTACATTTTTATTTCAATTACATCTATTTGAACACATATGAAGCTATCATAAATTAGGCAACCACAGCAAACAATAAAATCCTCTATGTCACCCTGAAATGCAATAGAAATTGCCCTTTTATGTGCTGCTGCTGAGCCCATCATGATCACTTATGAGCACAAGGATAAGGTGGTCCTTTCTGAAACAGACTGGTTTGCAAAGTAAGTTTCGTGCTTTACCCATCTAGCAATAGCAAGCTTGTGTTTTCCTCCATGCAGGACAATGTCTACCAGCACTTGCTTGCTCTCTCTCTCGGGTGCTACTTGTCAGTGTTCGGAGGCAGAGAGGAATAGCAATTAGACCAGCAGGCTGCTGCATCCTTACACCCAGCCCTGCAAATGCCTGAGCTAACCCCCAAAGTGCTGGAAGTGGGACAGCCACATCCGTGCAGCTCCAAGGAAGTCGGGCCAGATTGGCCTGGGCACAGCACCACACCAACTGGTTGCTTTCAGGCCTTGAGTTTGTGTTTCTGCAGGATGCTAAACCTTGCTCCGCAAGGGCTGACTGAGCTGTCGCAGGGATTTTGTGAGTGACGTTACACTGCATTGCACTGAACCGAGGGTTTGAGGAGCAGAAGTCTTGGTCCTAGCTTTTGCTCTCAGCCCCTGAGATGCCTGAAGCCATTTCACATTTCTGTGCCTCTGGCTTCCCAGTGTGAATTGGGTAGGATGCATCTGGCTCCTTCGTAGGAGTGGTTACTCCTGTGAAAATCCTGAAAAGTGCTCTGTGAACACCAAAGGTGTGGGTGATGTCTGTGTCAACAACGAGGAAGGGACTGTTAAAGCTACTCTAAAGCTTTAACAGCTAGGTTAGAGTGCCAGGCTACCTTCACAATAATAGTTTTTTGTTGGTTTTTTATTTTTTTTCTGCTGCTTTATTCTGCCTTTTGCATTGTGACTTGAGGACAGTTGCTACAGAAGA